ATAGTCATCTTTTCTTACCTAAGGCCTCAAAATTTGCTTCTTTGCCAAAGTCCTTATTAAAAATTGAATTTCTAGGTTTACCCATAACTGGCAAGCAACAATGTTGATAACATTTTAATACAGCAGAAATACATTTGATTTTACAACAGAAATACATGTTGCATATCAGGCAAAATATACACCCAGAGGAGAGTAAAGTGGTTGCTTGGCACAGCAATGCCTTGCTTCACTAGCCTGCTGAGTCCAAAGCAGAATTCCTTGACTAGTGTGCTAGCTTTGTCAATCTTTGGACCCAGTGTGACTGACCTTCAACAACCCAGCTATCCTGAACATTTGCCTGTTAGATATTTAAAGAATGCAAAGTTAGTGAGTGTTAATTGAGATGTAATTCACACACCATAAAATTCACCTTAAACTAAAATTCAGTGGTTTTTAGTATATTAACAAGATTGTACCACTGTCACCATATTTAATTCCAGAACATTTTCATCCAAAAGGAACACCATACCCATAGGCAGTCACTCCCTATTCCCTCCTTCCTTCCCCCAGTCCCTTGGCAATCACTAATCTGCCTTCTGTCTCTATGGATTTGCCTATTCTGGATATTTCTTATAAATAGAATTACAGCATTTGGCCTTTTGTGTCTGCCTTCTTTCACTTAACATAGATGTTTTCAAGGTTCATCCGTGTTGTAGCATGTGTGAGAACTTTATTCCTTTTTATGGCTGAATAATATTCCATTGTAAGGAACACCATACTTTATTTACCCATTCATTAATTGATAAGACATTTAGTTATTTCCACTTTGGGGCTATTAGGAATAATACTTTCATGAACATTTCTGTACAAGTTTTTGTGTGAGCATGTTTCATTTTTCTTGGTTATATACCTAGGAGTGAAATTACTTGGTCATGTGGGAACTTTTGAAGAACTCAGGCTGTTTTTCTGAGTGCCTGCACCATTTTACATTCCTACCAGCAGTGTATGTATGAGGGTACTGGCTTCTCCATATTCTCACTAACACTTGTTATTATCTGTCTTTTATAATAATCATTGTAGTGGGGGGTGAAGTGTTATCTCATTGTGGTTTTGATTTTCCTTTCCTTGATGGCCACCGATTTTTAACATATTTTCATGTGCTTATTGGCCATTTGTAGGTTTTCTTTGGAGAAATGTCTATTCAGATCCTTTGCCTGTTTTCAATTAGGTTGTCTTTAAAATATTGTTATAAAAGTTTTTTACATATTTCAGATACAGTCTCCTATCAGAGTTGCAAACTTTTTTTTTTCGTTCTGTGGATTATCTTTTTACTATGTTGATAGTATCTTTCAAAGCACAAAAGTTTTTAATTTTGATGAAGTCCCAATTTATCTCTTTGATTGCTTTGGGCTTTAGGTGTCATATCTAAGAGACCACTGCCTAATCCAAGATTATGAAGATTTACATTAAGAGTTCTATAGTTTTAGCTCTTAGATTTAGGTCTTTGGCCCATTTTGAGTTAATTTTTATATATGGTATAGATAGAGGCTCATTTTCATTCTTATGTGCATTTCTAGTCCCAGAACAATTTGTTGTAAAGACTATTCTTTCCCCCACTGAATTGTCTTGGCACTCTTGTTAATGATCAAAAGACCATAAACCTGGACTCCCAGGTTCTATTCCATCAATATATATGTCTAGCATTATGGTAGTACCCATACCATCTTGATTACTTTTACAGTAAGTTTTGAAATCAGGCAGTGTGAGTCATTTAACTTTGTGCCAAGATAATTTTGAAGTTGAGTTTAACTAATTTAGTCAAATAAAAACAAGTAGATGAGGAACAATTGAACAAGTCTAAGCAGGCCCCACACTAACCTAATTCTTAGGAGCAGAATGACTCTCTAGACTTATCCAGCCAGATTCACTTTATTCCTCCCTTTATTTATTCAGCAGTGATTTTAGGGAGTTTTTATAGCAACATAGCTTTGAGCAGTGTTGAAAGTTGGACAATGTAAAGGAAAATCTAGTGTCTAGGAGATAGTTTTGAAAATTATTTCATCCTAAGTGGGAGTAGTGATGGTGGGGATGTTAGAGCTAGAATTTTTAGGATTTGCAGTGGATAAGTTATGGTTGGTAAAGAAAAATAGGGGATTGAAGATACTTATATTTCTAGCTTGGGAATGATGGGTAGATATAATTAGGGAAATAGATTGTGTAAAGATAGAGTAAAGATAGTTTTATCTGTTCTTTCAAGAAGTCTGACAAGTTTGGAGGAGAAAACAGGGTTATGAGAAGGTTGATTGTTTCTGTTTTGCTGGTTGTGTTTTAGGGCTAGGGAAACTTGCTGTCTGAGGTAAATATTGAAGATGTGATGGGTAGTTTAATTATTACTTTAATTCCCAGGAGAAATGTAGAGCAAAGCCAGTTTTTTTCCTCTAAGACAGTAAGAGAGGTAATAATTCTTAATGTCTGTATTTTCTCTAGAGCTAAAGTTGGGAGGTGGGGTAGGTAGGGAACTATGGAACTTAAAAGCAGTGAAGGGTTGGAATTGCCATTGAGAAATGTAAATAAAATAACAAGGAAACAGAAAATAGGAATGAAAAAGACAAGACAGGATGAATTCAGGAAGTCCAATAGCTAAATTTCAGTTCCTGAGAAAGCAGAGAAGATGGGGGTAGGGGGTTATTGGTGAAATAATTCAAGAAAAGTTCCCCATCAAGAATGTGCGTCTGAAGTTTCCAGATTGAAAGGATCCACTGAGTGCCCAACACAGTAACATCAACATGAAGACATGAATAACTAAGTTTGCAGAGCAAGAAAGCAGGTCTCAAAGAAAAAGGATCAGGAATCAGAATGGCTTCAGATTTCCTAACAGCAATACCAGAAACAAAACAACCGAGCACCACCTCCCTATTTCTGCTAGAAAATTATTTTCAGTGCATGTATAATAATAAAAGCGTAATATGCTAATTAGACTGGACAGCCAAACGACCTTCTGGACGTCCTTCCTGGCGAAGCTGTGGGGGCGGGGGCTGAGGCAGAGGGGTTAGGGGCGATCAGGCAGGCAGGCAAGTGGTTAGGGGCAATCAGTCAGGCAGAGTGGTTAGGGGCGATCAGGCAGGCAGGCAAGTGGTTAGGGGCAATCAGTCAGGCAGAGTGGTTAGGGGCGATCAGGCAGGCAGAGTGGTTAGGGGCGATCAGGCAGGCAGAGTGGTTAGGGGCGATCAGGCAGGCAGGCAGAGTGGTTAGGGGCGATCAGGCAGGCAGGCAGAGTGGTTAGGGGCAATCAGGCAGGCAGGCAAGTGGTTAGGGGCAATCAGTCAGGCAGAGTGGTTAGGGGCGATCAGGCAGGCAGAGTGGTTAGGGGCGATCAGGCAGGCAGAGTGGTTAGGGGTGATCAGGCAGGCAGAGTGGTTAGGGCAAAGAGATAGGCAGGCAGAGTGGTTAGGGGTGATCAGGCAGGCAGAGTGGTTAGGGGCGATCAGGCAGGCAGAGTGGTTAGGGGGCGATCAGGCAGGCAGAGTGGTTAGGGGCGATCAGGCAGGCAGAGTGGTTAGGGGTGATCAGGCAGGCAGGCAGGCGGGCGAGCGGTTAGGAGCCAGCAGTCCCAGATTGTGAGAGGGTGCAGGCCAGGCTGAGGGACCCTCCTCCCGCCCCCCTGCATGATTTTCATACATCGGGCCTCTAGTAATTCTATATATAGCCAGATTATCAATCAACTCATATCGAAAAAAACATGTCCAGACATTCAGGGTACAAAAAAATGAGGGAATTTAGCCAGGATAGAGGAAAGAGTAGTAAAAACAAATGGGAAGGGACTTCTCTTCTCATCACCAATCTTGTAGTCCTAGTTAACTGCAACTTTGCACATTAAAACTTTAAAGTGAATGGGCCACAATAATGTAAATGTATTGAATATCACTGAACTGTACATTTTAAAAATTATTAACATGGTATATCCATTTACCACAAGTAAAAAAAAATTAAATGGAAGATAGAAATAGCCAGCCCATACAACTCTTTTTTTTTTTTATTTTGTTTTATTGCTTAAAATATTACAAAGAGTATTACATATGTCTCCTTTTTTTTTCCCCCTTGACCTTCCCCCGGCCTCCCCTAACGCCAGTGTCTTGTGTCCATTGGTTATGCTTATATGCATGCATACAAGTCCTTTGGTTGATCTCTTCCCCTCTCCCCCTCCCCCCCGCCCCTCCAGTCTTCCCGCTGTAGTTTGACAATCTGTTCGATGCTGTTCTGCCTCTGTATCTATTTTTATTCATCAGTTTATAATGGTCTTTATTATCCATAAATGAGTGAGATCATGCAGTATTTTTCTTTCATTGACTGGCTTATTTCACTTAGCATAATGCTCTCCAGTTCCGTCCATGCTGTTGCAAATGGTAAGAATTCCTTCTTTTTTACAGCAGTATAGTATTCCATTGTGTAGATGTACCACAGCCCATACAATTCTTGATGTTTAGCTATAAAGGGTTGATAAAGGACAATACTTGAGGGGTGGCATGGGTAATAGTATACCATCTTTGTACTGTCCCCTTGGAATGTCTATTAAATGTAAAGTCAGAAAATCTAAAAATGTTATCTAAGGTGTCCTAGCATATGCCCAGAGGAACTTGGCTGCTGTGGACTGGACCTGACTGGGATGGCTTTTAAGTTCTTCCCTGGATGCTCTAAGGGTAGGTGTGGGGAACATCCAGCCCAAAATCATTAAATGTTTTACCAAATATAGCAGGCTCGTTTTTAAGTTGATATGTTGTAGGGCCCGAGAATGATGGTATAAATATCTAAGTGGCCCCTGGCAGAAAAAAGGTTCCCCACCCCTACTCTGGGGCCTCTGTTTACTTTTCCACCTAAGACAGTTCTCCCAGATCGTCAGATGAGAAAAGAAGCTTTGATGATAAATTAGTTTTTTCCATTTAAGTACTTTGAACAGTGGCTTATCAACAGATGTTTAATTCAGAAAAATAAACATAGCCTAAACATATCTCATTCTCTTGCAGTGTCAACTTCTTGCCTAAGAACTGGAAAGACTGACTAGTTTGAACATGGAAAACCAAGAACCAGTGGATTCTTCTGGAAAAACCAAACAGTTTACTATTTCAGAGGAGGTATAAATTGTTTTTCACTTCTTTTCCCCTCCCCACATAAAACTAATTTGTAAAGAAATGCATGGACTATTTGTTGTTTAAGTTATTTTTTTTTTTTTAATTCTTAAAGACAGATTTTAAACATTATTCCTGTTCCCTTTTTAGGACACAGGGACATTGTGCTCTTGTGTGAGAGCAGTGGCATATCCCTCTTAATTATATGTATTAGTGAAATTGAGACTATTTAAAAGTGGACTTTGGCTGTTGGTACAAAACTTCTCAGTTTTTACTAAAAGTTTCTCTGGATTGCCATAACCAGTTTGGCTCAGTGGATAGAGCGTTGGCCTGCGGACTGAAAGTTCCCAGGTTCAATTCCAGTCAAGGGCATGTACCTTGGTTGCGGGCATATCCCCAGTAGGGGGTGTGCAGGAGGCAACTGATCGATGTTTCTCTCTCATCGATGTTTCTAACTCTTTATCCCTCTTCCTTCCTCTCTGTAAAAAATCAATAAAATAGAAAATAAAAATAAAAAAATAAAGTTTCTCTGGGTAGAACAATAAACCGGATGTGAGTTTTAGGGCTTAGACATTTCATACTTAGGTATCACATCTTAATTACCTGTTTATGGTCTCAATATGTATAAGAACAATAAAAACCTAACTTTTTAGTTGTAGTCTAAATTCCAGAACAAATGTATGTCCTGTATGCTGCTCAGTTTAGATTTTAAAAAGTCTCTCCCTATAGGAACCGTTGCAATGGATAAATTTTCAATCCTTCATCTTGGAACTCTGATCTTGACACCTTTTAGCAATTCTCTTTTTTTTTTTTTTTTTTTAAATATAGTTTATGATTTTTTACAGAGAGGAAGGGAGAGGGATAGAGAGTTAGAAACATCGATGAGAGAGAAACATCGATCAGCTGCCTCCTGCACACCACCTACTGGGGATGCGATCAGCTGCCTCCTGCACACCACCTACTGGGGATGTGATCAGCTGCCTCCTGCACACCACCTACTGGGGATGCGCCCGCAACCAAGGTACATGCCCTTGATTGGAATTGATCCTGGGACCCTTCAGTCCGCAGGCCAACACTCTATCCACTGAGCCAAACCAGTCAGTGCTAGCAATTCTTTTTGATGTAAAAATCTCTCCATGTAGTCTGGTGAGTTCCAGGTGCCCCAAGGCCAGCCTCATGCAGTGACCTGTCCGCCTGGTGGGTGACCCATGGGGCAGCCCACCAATTGCCCTTCCCTGGTGGCATGGTGGGCGGTGCCCAGCAGTCCGTGAGGAGTAAGGTCCAAGGAGGAGCCTGGCTGCCCTGGGAGGGTGGCAGAGGTGTGCTCCATAAATGGGCTGGGGGTTGAGGGAGGGTCACCTGGTGACCCTGGAGGTGGTTTAGGGGCCTCTCATAGAGGCCTGGCCTGGAGGTGAAGGCTGTATGTGTGAGGAGCTGTGACTGATGAAAATTAAAGGCCGTGGATGAAGATGGACTTGAATTACAACCACAAGAGCCAAACTCTTTTTTTTTTTTTTTTTTTTTATTAAGGTATTACAAATGTCCACACTCTTTTTTTTTAATGTTTTTCTTATTTCAAGAAAATTTTCAATATAATGCTACATGCAATAAACCTTAATATTTCAAGAAAAATTCTTAAATATAATAATGTTACATATCTCAAGAAAAACTATTTTAAATCTATAATAATAAAAGCGTAATATGCTAATTACACCGGACAACCTTCCAGACAAAGCCAGGGCTGCGAGGGAAGCCTGGATCCTGGGTGCCAGATAGAAGCCGGTGCTGGCAGCCAGGGGAACGAAGGCCTACTCTTGCACAAATTTTGTGCATCGGGTCTCTAGTATGATAATGTTACATGCAATAAACACTATTTAAGAAAAATGATCTTACATATAGTAATATTACATGCAGTAAACATTAATATTTCAAGAATAAGGAGAGAACCAAGATGGCGGCATAGGTTAACGCCGGAGTTTGCTGCTTTGAACAACTACTTCAAAAGTGAAACCAAAAAATGGAAGGGACATCACCCAGAACCACAGGAACGCTGGCTGAGTGGAAGTCCTACAACTAGGAGGAAAGAGAAACGCATACGGACACCCAGAGGAGGCGCAGTGCTGAAGTGAAATTCTGAGGTGCGGAGTGCGCGGAGCGGGCTGGCGGCGGAGGGCGCGGTTGGCGTTTTCAATCGGGAGGGAGTCGCAGAATCTGAGCTCCAGATCCGGGCGAGTCTTTAGGGACCCACACTCAAACGGGAGAAGCGGGACTGTCTGGCTTCGGTCAGAGCGAGTGCAGCTTTCTCTCTGAGCTTTGCAGCGGGTGCTGGGACTCTGAGAGGCAGAGCCCCTGGGGACAGGACTGAGAGCCGCCATAACTGCTCTCTCCGGCCCACCCTGTTGATCCTGTGCAACCCGCCCCGCCCAAGCCCTGCACACAGGCATTTCCCGGATAGCCTCAGGCAAAGGCTAGATTAGCACCTCCCTAGAGGACAGAAGTTCTCTCACTGCTGACACAGCTGATTCTCATAGGCACTTGGCCTGGAGGTCAAACCCTCCCTGGAATTAGCTACAACAATCAAGATTTAACTATAAGACTGCGAACAAAGACCACTAGGGGGTGCACCAAGGAAGCATAACAAAATGCGGAGACAAAGAAACAGGACAAAATTGTCAATGGAAGATATAGAGTTCAGAACCACACTTTTAAGGTCTCTCAAGAACTGTTTAGAAGCCGCCGATAAACTTAATGAGATCTACAAGAAAACTAATGAGACCCTCGATGTTATATTGGGGAACCAACTAGAAATTAAGCATACACGGACTGAAATAACGAATATTATACAGACTCCCGACAGCAGACCAGAGGAGCGCAAGAATCAAGTCAATGATTTGAAATTCGAGGAAGCAAAAAACACCCAACCGGAAAAGCAAAATGAAAAAAGAATCCAAAAATGCGAGGATAGTGTAAGGAGCCTCTGGGACAGCTTCAAGTGTACCAACATCAGAATTATAGGGGTGCCAGAAGACAAGAGAGCAAGATATTGAAAACCTATTTGAAGAAATAATGACAGAAAACTTCCCCCACCTGGTGAAAGAAATGGACTTACAGGTCCAAGAAGCGCGGAGAACCCCAAACAAAAGGAATCCAAAGAGGACCACACCAAGACACATCATCATTAAAATGCCAAGAGCAAAAGATAAAGAGAGAATCTTAAAAACAGCAAGAGAAAGAAACTCAGTTACCTACAAGGGAATACCCATACGACTGTCAGCTGATTTCTCAACAGAAACTTTGCAGGCCAGAAGGGAGTGGCAAGAAATATTCAAAGTGATGAATACCAAGAACCTACAACCAAGATTACTTTATCCAGCAAAGCTATCATTCAGAATTGAAGGTCAGATAAAGAGCTTCACAGATAAGGAAAAGCTAAAGGAGTTCATCACCACCAAACCAGGATTATATGAAATGCTGAAAGGTATCCTTTAAGAAGAGGAAGAGGAAGAAAAAGGTAAAGATACAAATTATGAACAACAAATATGCATCTATCAACAAGTGAATCTAAGAATCAAGTGAATAAATAATCTGATGAACAGAATGAACTGGTGATTATAATAGAATCAGGGACATAGAAAGGGAATGGACTGACTATTCCTGGGGGGGGAAAGGGGTGTGGGAGATTCGGGAAGAGACTGGACAAAAATCGTGCACCTATGGATGAGGACAGTGGGTGGGGAGTGAGGGCGGAGGGTGGGGCGGGAACTGGGAGGAGGGGAGTTATGGGGAAAAAAAAAAAAAGAGGAACAAATGTAATAATCTGAACAATAAAGATTTAATTAAAAAAAAAAGAATAAAAGGATTTTAAGTATAATAATATTACCAAAACTGTACTAATGTAGTATGATATCACAAAAGTTGTAGGAAATATTAAAAATCAGCAAATAACAGGATTACTTCTAGTATATTGTTTCCCCCTTTGGCTCTATTTTTGTTCATCAGTTAATGTTGTTCATTATATTCCACAAATGAGTGAGATCAGATATTTATCTTTCTCCGACTGGGTTATTTCACTTAGCATGATGCTTTTAAAGTCTATTTTGTCAGATATGAGTATTGCTGCTCCAGCTTTCTTTTTCTTTTCCATTTGCATGGAAAAATTTTTCCCATCCCTTCACTTTCATCCTTTGTATGTCTTTTGTTTTGAGGTAGGTCTCTTGTAGGCAGCATATAGTTGGGTCATGTTTTTGTATCCATTCAGCTACCCTACACCTTTTGATGGGAGTATTTGATCCATTTACATTTAGGGTTATTATTGAGAGGTACTTATTTATAGCCATTTTAATTCTGTATGGCTAGGTTTCTCTCTCTGTTTCTTCTTCTCAGCAATCCCTTACAGCAATCCCTTTAGCATTTCTTATAATGCTGGCTTGGTGGTGATAAACTCCTTTAGCCTTTTTTTGTCTGGGAAGCTCTTTGACCGTCTATTTTGAATGATAGCCTTGCTGGACATAATAATCTTGGTCTCAGGTCCTTGCTTTCCATTACCTTGAGTACTTCATGTTTCCTCCTGGCCTGTAGAGTTTCTGGTGAGAAATCAGGTGTCAGCCTTGTGGGAACTCCTTTGTAGGTAACAGTTTTCTTTTGCTGCCTTTAAGATTCTTTGTCTGTAATTTTTGGCATTTTAATTATGATGTGTCTGGGTAGGGGTCTGTTTGGGTTCTTCTTGTTTGGGGTTCTCTGTGCCTCCTGAACTTGTGTGACTTTTCCCTTTATCAGGTTAGGGAAGTTTTCTACCATTATTTCTTCAAACACCTTCTCTACTCCTTTCTCCCTTTCTGCCTCTTCTGGCACATCTACTATTCTAATACTGTTATGTTTCACATTGTCCCACAGCTCCCTTAAGCTGTCCTCCTGTTTTTTTATTGTTTTTTCTTTTTGGTTCTCTGATTGATATTTTCAACTCCGTCTTCTAATTCACTGATTCGATCCTCAGCTTCCCCTAATCT